TGCCCAGAGAAATTGTGGCTGCTCCATTCCTGGAAGTGTTCAAGCTCCAGTTGGAAGGGCCTTTGAGCAACCTGATCCAGTAGAAGACATCCCCGCCCTGTATAGTTTACCTCTATACTTAAAAGGCTTGGCAGTTCAGATGAACTCTAAAGTGTGGACCAAGCCTTATATTTTAAGTTCTGATGTAAGTGTAGTTACTCCTGAGAGCTCCTGTTAGGCGAGGTCAGAAAAGTGACTTAACGATCTTGGGTAAATGCAGCTGCTGCTGAGGTGCAAAATTCGAGCAGGTGGAGTTGTATAAAGCTTTTTGATAGACTAACTTTACTAATTTGACTTTCTTTTGCAGCTGCATAACTGTTCTCTTGCCTATGACAATTGATGATTACAGCCAATTAAAGGCTCTGTCACATTTTTGCTCAGGGACTTGGGTGAGCCATCTGTCAGTCTTGCTGTTTACTTTAGAAAAATGCAGAGAGTGTATCAAATTAACTTTGTATTTCTGTTTGGGTTTTCTGAAGTGTTGCACAAAGGCATGTTGTTAACACATATATATGTTTTCACTTACATGAGTCCTCTGAGTCTTCTATGTAGTGGGAAGAAGTTATTCTGTTTTCTCTGTAGTCACCAGCGTTCAGTATGTTAATAAGTTTACAGCAGAACTTTCAAACACATAGTTCTTAAGCATCTCTATAAAGTATGTAGTTGCACAATTAGATAGAAAGCCATTGGACTATTTGTATTTCAACATTAAGGATACTGTCATTGGCATGGGTTTTGGCAGGATTCATATAGCAGTGCTTGCACAGATTGTCTTTTAAATCTATGTGAAATACTTTGATCTATTTGGCAACTTTGGGAGTTCTTTAGGAGTCAAATTTTTTGTTTTCAGAGTTTTGTTTTTGTTCCATGAGGAATTTTGCAGAGTTTTGTTTGGTCCCCAGAGAAAACAGACTCTTGATTTTCATTAGGGATGGATCCTGATGTCAAAATGTAAAACATTTTATGGTATTTTATAGTGTTTCATAATATTTCTGGTGAAAGTCATATGGAAAAGGCTTGAATTTTTCATAGCTTTCTATGATCCATGACATCGATTTTCATGCTTACGGAACAGTTGGGCCTCTTTCTATGTCTCTGTTTCATTGGGTGAGAGATCTGCTGTATCTGGATATAAAACTCATTTTATATTTATAAAATTCATGAGGAGAGATGTATGTGAGAAGTTTCTGCTTAGCTGTATGTATTACAGAGACCAGTTTTGATCTGGTTTTTTTGTTAAAAAAACCCTTACTATTTTACCAAAGACTTTTGAGCATTTAATTTTCATGAATGCTGCATGAAAAAAGGTAAAGGAAAAAATGGCCAGAACACCAACGTGACCACGTTTGGTGGCAGACTGATGCAACTCATTTGAAGTGAGTGCATATACCAGATACAAATTCAACTGATTGTATTTTGGTTTAAATAATTTTATCCTCCATCACTGTAATCTTGCCCTGCTTTCAAAGTCTTCTGAAATCCAGGAGAATCACGAGAAAGCACGGCTGTTGAAAACAACACACTCCTTTCAGTCATTGACAAAATGATAAGATACTGGGTGGAATTTTTTTTTCCTGTTTTTTTTTTCCCCCTCACTAAAGCTATGAAATATTAAAAATACTTCAAACACATTGTGCTGACCATAACTTGGTGATTGCAGGAATTTATGAAATACTGATTGGGAGGTGAAAACATTGTCAACACACCACTCAGATATAGTTCCTCTCCTTTTGCCACAGATTTGCTATTGATTCCCAAAGGCACTAAGTTAAAAAACTCTACTGCCATCACCCTTAGCTGCTTGGTCTTCATTTGCCAATAAGATTTTTTCTAAAAGGCACAAAAATTTGCTAACATTTAAAAAAGAAGCTTCAATTTAGATTAGTAAAAACAGCAAGCTGTCAAGGTGAAGATACGTGTTGGGGGGTTTCAGTATAAGAGATGAAGAAATAGTTTGTTGAAGGCATATGTTTTAAATGGCATGGCCAATATTCCTGCCTGAGCAGCAGAGTCATATTGGTGATGGTAGAAATAACTTTCTATGTTTAAAACCCTCAATTCATGAAGGTTCTGCAGAGGATGAATTAACTTAATAATCCTGTCAAAAATAAGGTCAGTTCAAACAAGATGGCGGTAGTTGGGACAAAGAGTTAGTTCACAGCTGTTAGCTTATAACCTCCTCGAAGTGATTTATTTATTTATTTATTTATTTATTTTTAAATCTCAGTTTTGGACTAATATTGCCTGGGAGTAGAAGTATTTTATGTGCATTTGATATAATACACTTATGTTCTGTATCTGTTGTAAATTATTTCTGTTACTTCTGTAGAATCTTCCTCTTGTACAAAAGAGATGTATGGAATTTGTGGGAGACTGTAGCTCTCCGATATTTAATGTAAATTCATTGATTTTTGCTTCTGTTCATGTGATAATGAGCCACTAATCAGAGTTCGTCAATGCATGGTAACTTTCAGTTTCAGAAAAATCATCTTTGTGTTTAAAAAATAATTTTAAAAAAGTTAAATGTTTAAATCTTTCAAAACTAGCTTTTCATTGCCACCAATCCAGCTAGATATGAACTGTTAATCAATGCTAATTAAATAGCTGTAAAAATCACCAAAAAAATAGCTGCCATAAGACAAGTGATCTTCTGCCTGAAATAAATCAATGTCTTAATCCAGCCTGTCTCAGATATGCATGTAAAAATACTTGCTTAAACTGGCATTCATTGGCTTCCTGACAATCTCGGTCTACAGACTGAGATTTTGGCAGATGCAGAATTGCCTTGATTCTTCAGACCGCTGTCAGAGCATATTGGTAGGACACTAAGAAGAATTGTGTGCGAATAAGCGGAGGTTTCTCTTTCCTCAGACTCTGTGGCCAAAACCTGACATCAGCTAAATTCTTTTTAAAAATGCAGTTTCTATCTGTGTTAAGCTTCAGAAGGCCAAAAGCCTTCTGGGAACTTCAGCTTTCCGAAGTTACACTGTAAAGGAGAGGGTTAGTACTGACAGGGTTTCTTTGATTTTTCTTTGTTTGTTTTTGCTGCGTCTAAGGGTAGGAAAGCAAATAAACATTGATGATTTTTTTTTAAGTTGTGTAATAATAATAATAATACGGAATAGCAATGAAAATCGTTTTCTATTTGTCTTCATGCTACTATTTACAGTCAAAGTAAAAATTTTCAAAATATAAGCATCTCCACTGCACGTGATAGAGATACTGTAATATTCTGCTGCCCTCTAGCCAAGGGTCTGAAATGATTTAGGCTTCTTGCCTTTGTACATCCATGCTGCTGCTGAGCTGTTATTTGACAGGTTTTTTAGATTGAGAATTCACCTATGAGCGAAATGATAATTTCATTTCCAAAATGAAATCACATCATGTGTCTGCTCACGTAGTCTCTGGTCTAAAGAACTTTTAAAACAAAATCTGTCAGCCTGTTCTTAGAAATGGATACAAACACTTTTCAGTAAAAGAAGCAGCAATGTTATTTACCTAATTGATGCCATCTTAGTATACAATGATTTTTGTTTTGTTTAGTAATTTTATTATCATATTAGCATGTAGTTTATATTGGCAGGTTATGTCTGAAAATCATTAATTGTCATTCATTCAAGCTTTAATGCAAATGTTTCACACAGATGTTATAGTTACTAGGTTAGTTATAAGCAAAGAAGGTGCTATAATTCCACTGGATAGTGTTGAGAAGGTATTTAATAGGTAGCATTTCAATTCATTTGAAGGAAACTAAATAATTCAAATATTTGAATTAGGACCATAAAATTATTAGGACTTTATGAAGTATTCTGGTCTGTTCTATAAGTTGTTCTGGGTTGGGTTTTTTACTAACTGCTTTAGCATATTCACATTTCAGTGAATTAGCTAATAACATTACTCTCTCTTTCTCTAGTTGGAATGAGTCATAAGTTTCATCGCTCTTACCTAAGGCTCAGTCTGTTTTGGAAGAGGTTTGCTGAAGTAATTATGCACTTGTATTGATGTTACAATTATACCAGTTCAAGCACATCTGTGAGGGAGTGTTTTCTATTACTTACTGGATTGTGTATGCTTGTTTTTCCTGCTATCTCTGGACATCAATACAAATCTCCTAATGTCCCGTTGCAAAGGATGCTTAATTATATAGAATCTCTCAGCAGAAACCTCAGATTAGTGTGAAATAATTGCTTCTTTATAAGTTTATGCCAGAACCCAGATTCTACTCATGATTTAAACATAAGAGGTTTAGATACTTCCCGTATGTGTGAGCACAGTACAGCTAAATAGGATACGCATCTATGTGTAGATATATAAAGGCTTTGAAAAGGTTGTTCTTTTCCTTCATAACTTGCTGTATCAAACATAAAATTTTAGGTCCATTTCTTCTGTTCATTCCGAGGTTCACTATGCCCATAGAAGTGGGTAAATCTCCAGTATCCTGGCTCTAAGTACTGGCCTATTTGAATACGTTTATGTGAATATAGTGCTATGCTCCATTTATGCTTAGAAATTACTCACAGCAAACTTTTCAGCTCTTGAGTTTCTTCATCCTTTCATGACTATGTAAGTCACTCAAGAACAGTATATTTAAAAATTTGGAGAATTATGAAGACCCTTTCTTTGTAATCTTCTGTATTGAATTAAAATATCCACCTTTTCTTGGTAGATATTTTTTCCTGAAGATATTGATTACAGTTATCTCTTACAGGACAACAGTACTTGTACTGTCACTTGGTGATTCCACACAATGCATTTCTTTGAGTTTGCTCCAGTGAGCCCCAGTCTTTGGAAATTTTGGTGTAGCAAGAAAAAATATGTTACCTTTCTATTTTAGTCTGATTAACAGACTGAGGTTAATTGGTTTACACTATAGGGGGTTTAATGCTAATTAAAGATCTCTGATATAAATTCTGCTAATCAAAGGGGTCAACACTTTCTGTGTGCCTTTGTTTTTCCTCTAGCTGTTGGTGAGAAGCAACAACCTTTCTGACAAGATCACAGTTCTGTCTGGAAAAATTGAGGACATCTCCCTGCCTGAGAGTGTTGATGTGGTAATTTCTGAACCGATGGGTTATATGCTGTTCAATGAAAGGATGTTGGAAAGTTACCTCCATTCCAAAAAATGGTTGAAGTCAAATGGTGAGTGTGTCACCACAGTTATCCCCTGCATAGAGAAAGGAAGATAAAAAGCTTCTGAAAGAAGGAAAAAAGACTTGAATTGGTAGTCCAAGATTGTCTGGTTTTATGCCCTCGTTCTAGCTCTACCACCAACATCTAGGGGGCCCAGGGGAATTAATATAATGATGCAGCCACCATTGCTATTGTACTATGCTGTGACTTATTGCTGTTTCACAGTAGAAATAGTTTTTGAGTATGCTGCTGTTGCACTGCTGAGTTCTGCTTGTGTTTTAATCTTAACCTGCTGCTATACACACTATGATTGCACCTCTGTTGCAACATACCACAATAGATGATGGCACACTAGCCTCAACTGCCAGACAGTGGAATGTAGATGAGAGCAGAATGGTCAAATAGGATGAGCTTTTTTTTGTGGAAAAACTCCAATATATTGTCTTCGGGAAAACTGTGAAGTTAAAATTGTTTTGACATCCTTTCATTGGGCTTCTCCCAAATACCTTATTCTAATACTTGAATGTTGCCTTTTGAGTGACATGCGAGAGACTCAGAGCATTCAGTGCTCTGTATTTCATCCCTTCTGTGTTTGGAGGAGTTTTGAAGGGAATCTGTAAGGTCCAAGGCCTCATGGGAATCTTCTTTGAGAGGCAAATCTGAGCATCCACTTGCTGAATGATAAATCTTTCTATATGAACTGCTGAAAATGAACTACAAAGTCTCTCTTTAAAAGTCATCTTTAAAAGAGACCTTTCTCAAGTAAAATTACTGCAGCATGGAAGTTTTTGAAGCATGGGCTGAATCTGTGCCTCAATGCAGGGAGCTAATGACTTTGCTGTTGAGTTGTTTCAAACTTGGAAAGTACATTTGGGTAGTATTTTTCAAGTCAGCCACTGATCTTAAGCCTCCCGTTTAGATTCTTAGGGTCCAGTTTCAGAAGAGGGCTTCTGAAAACTGATCAGTAAGCAGCTCATTTTCGGTTTTAAATGAGTGAATGCTTTTAAAGATACGTGCCTAACTTTCTGATTGCTCACTTGTGCAGTGGGGATGAATCACCTTATGTGGTGATCATTAAACTTAATGAATGTTTAAGAAGTGAGCTGAAATTGTGACATTTTGAGTAAGTTGCTAATATTTTGCACCAGTTAGGTTTGGAAACTTTCTGTCCCAAATTCTCTGCAAACTTGTTAATATTCTCCCCACAGCCAGTTTTAAAAAGCATGTCTATTTTGTGAGTGGGTGTTGTTCTTTATTTAAATTCCTGTGGATTCTTCCTACATGATGTACTTACAAAAGGAGAGCTGTTTCCTTTTCTCTCCTCTCCTTTACCTGTCCTCCCCTTCAACTATGCATTGTGGTTTATACCAGATTAAAGAAGTGTGAAGAAGTACGCTCAAGTGTAGTTCAAAATGACCAGGCTTTGTTTCCAGCTTCCACTGATACATGCACAACAGAATATAAGGGCTTTCATTTAAGCTGTTAGGCAGTCTGATGCACTGTCCACAGAAGATAATGGAAGGTAATTCCTCTGGTTTCCCAAGCCATTAAAGTACAAGATCCTAATGAAAATGCATTCTTGCAAGCTAGTAGATCAGGATTTCATTCCCTGCTCTGTCACTGATTTGTCACTTCATGCAAATAAAATTCTGTTTCTCAGCTTCAGCATCTGTTTTAAAAAAAAAAAAAAAGGTGTAATATACATTTTTGTGTTTGTAAAATTTTCAGTGTGTGCTCTGAAGTGCTATGAGTTTCCTGCATAAAAGTCTTAAGAGTGAAGTGCATATAACTACTTCATTCATTAACAGCAGTTCTTCCAAATTTGATCAAAACCATACCCAGCAGTTTAATTCAAGATCAAGTCTGAGCTTTCATGCAAATCCTTCACCCAGATGTTATAGTTACTAGGTTAGCTGTAAGCAAAGAAGGTGCTATAATTCCACTGGAGAGTGTTGAGAAGGTATTTAATAGGTAGCATTTCATTTGAAGGAAGCTAAATAATTTAAATATTTGAATTAGGACCATAAAATTATTAGGACTTTATGAAGTATTCTGGTCTGTTCTGTAAGTTGTTCTGGGTAGGGTTTTTTTTACTATGCTTTAACATATTCACATTTCAGTAACCCGTATATTAATGAAACTAAATGTTAAGATATCTGAAGTGTATGACAATTGCTACTTCTGAACTAGTGGTTTCTTGCTAGTGAAGACATTCCTGTAGAGATGTCTGTGGGGCTATAGAATCACAGAATTGTGACTCTATACACTAATAGAGTCACTACACTAATCGCTCTAATTCTGACTCAGAATCCTGAGTTCGAAGGCACTCATGAGGATCATTGAGTCCAACTCCTTAACTCCACACAGGGCAACCTTAACATTAAACCATGTATTTAAAAGTGTTGTCCAAACACTTCTTGAACACTTGCCTTTCTACTTTATATTGTCTTTTGTTTACTAGGAATGATGTTCCCAACATACAGTGACATTCATTTGGCTCCTTTTTCCGATGAGCACCTGTACATGGAACACTACTCTAGAGCCAATTTTTGGTAATGATTATTTATGTTACTTTATTTTTATCAAAGATTCAGTAGAGGTTAAAAATTAAATCAGTTCTTTGATTCAGCATAAACTATCTGTCAACATTGGAAGAGGATGCTTTTATGTTTTCCGTGTCCACTTCAGCTCTGGCCTACAGTCAAACTGTTTATTGTGCAAGTCTGAAGGATCTCTCAGGAAGTGCTAGAACTGACTGGGTCTCTTTTTAAATGAGAAATTGACTCCATGGAGCATCCATTGCAAGAAAAAGAGTTGACTGTGAATCAGGTGCTAGTGTGTCCTTTGCTACACAGAATGCATAGAATACATAGAATGCTGCGGATGGTGATCATTGTATTGCCTGAAGTCCCAGGTGCGTGAGCACAGGAAAGATTCCTTGGCAGTCTTCACAGAGGATAAGTGTTAATTCCCATGTCCTGAACAATTTCCAATTTGGTAGTTACTTTCTGTCCACCTAAATTTTTCATGCAGCTTTAACTAGAAATTGTACTCCTTTTGCTCTGGAGTGTCCTACTGCTACTATCCACTGTTGAACTGTTGCTATGCTCTATACAGGAGGAAACATTTACAGCAATATTCTAATGAGGAGAAATTGAGATGATTCCATTTCAGCAATGGGCAGGTTTATTTTTAAACATCTGCAGTCCTTCATGTGATACAGATCAGTTAATTTATAAATTAGCCATTTATAGATCATTATTTAAAGGTTTTGGATAAAAGGTACTGTGGAACTCAAGGGTTAACTATTTTTAAATCTCCTGGAAGATTATAAATGCAGTCTTTGAACTGTTCTTTCAGCTTGCAATGTGGAATGTGAACATTAAGTGATCTTCATCAAACCTATTTGTTGGTTTCTTAGATTAAAGACAAAGTTTTCTTCCATGCCAGGTTACGGTATAACTGCTCATACTTAGAAGGTTTCTTCTGGCAGCCTCTGAAGTAGAGCTATGACAAAATCTTACTATTTCTGTACCGATTAAAGGAGTGAGAGACATTTGAGTGATTTACATGCTGAATCCTTTGCTCACAATGTTACTTTATACAGCCAGTTTGTGCTCTTTTGTCTCACTGTGTAGGTTGAGCCAGTTATGAAATGTTTGCATTGTATGTTTACAATCACAAAAACTGCAACAGTATTTTTCTATGTTAAGAGACTGAAAAAATAAGGTAGAAGTAGCTTCTGATAAGTTTTCACATCTCAGATGTCATTCTGGTCTCTCTTCCCAAAGATCCTGTTATTTTTGTTTATATACATGAGATGTCAATAATACATATTAGACTATAAGTTACAAGACTGAAGCACAATGTTGTACCATGATGCAGATTCTTCATCATTTAATAAAGAAAATAGATACGTACTTAGAAGTTGGAAGCAGAAATACAGCTTTTTTTTCCAGGTCTATACAGGACTGGATGTTACTGTCAATATGAAAGCATTTCATTTCAGACTGCTTGGGATGCTTCATCTTCGTTTGTAATGAATGTAAGACCTCAGTGGAATACCTGTGGGGTAGATGTAGTGTATGTGTGTGTATCTCCATAAACACTGATGTATCTGGTAATGTTATTGGTAGTGGGAAAAATCTGCTGCCTTTTGTTGTTTAAGAATTGTACAGTTGGGACTGAATAGTCCAGCTAGATTAGTTTCTTACAGTTTGTTAACACAAATGCACCATCTGCATTCTAAAAAAAAAGAAAAGAGAACTTCATCTATATCTAGCTGGCATGGTTTGATTCCAGATATTCTACATGCATACATTTAATAAGCTGAATTATCTGTCAACCACTGCAAGGATTTAAGAGAATTGCATAAAAGGGAAAAACCGATTTTTCAAGTCTGCTTTAGTAACTAATTTTTCTTTGCACCAAGGATGTGTTTGTCATTGACATTATTATCACAGACTGTAGTAATATTTTGTAATTATGATAGCAATCAGGTTGGTATCTAAATCGCAACATACTGCAGTCTTTCCTCCACCCATCTTTGCAAAAGGATGTCTCCCAGTTTTTACCGATATTTTTACTACCTACTTTAAATTTTTTATGAGAACGTTTCAATGAAACTAACCACAGAAACGTCACACAATTACCCTTGATGATATTCCTTATATATCAGGTTCCGTTTGACATATTCCTAGACAAAAATAGTTTGTGTGCTTATAATATAATTTATTGCTGTCTTGAGATGTCTCCTGAGCAGAGGGCTGTAATATCAGTCCTCCTATCAGTCCACATAGTTGTAGTTTTGTATGGATGTATGCCCAGGTGTCGTGGTTTAACTCCAGCCAGCAACTAAGCACCACGCAGCTGCTCACTCACTCCCCCCCAGTGCAGGGGGGAGAATCGGAAGGGTAAAAGTGAGAAAACTCATGGGTTGAGATAAAGACAGTTTAAGAGGTAAAGCAAAAGCCGCGCGTGCAAGCAAAGCAAAACAAGGAATTCATTCACTGCTTCCCATTGACAGGCAGGTGTTCAGCCATCTCCAGGAAAGCAGGGTTCCATCACGCATAATGGTTACTTGGGAAGACAAGCGCCATCGCTCCAAACGTCCCCCTTCCTTTTTCTTCCCCCAGCTTTATATGCTGAGCATGACGTCATATGGTATGGAGTACCGCATTGGCTGGTTAGGTTAGCTGTCCTGGCTATGCTCCCTCCCCGCCTCTTGTGCACCTGGCAGAGCATGGGAAGCTGTCTTGTGCACCTGGCAGAGCATGGGAAGCTGAAAAGTCCTTGAGTAGAGTAAACATTACTTAGCAACAACTAAAACATCAGTGTGTTATCAACATTATTCACATACTAAATCCAAAGCACTATACCAACTACTAGGAAGAAAATTAACTCTATCCCAGCCAAAACCAGGACACCAGGACATTGATTGTGCAAGAGGATTAAATACTGTTGAGGTTACTGAGTGCTCTAAAGACCAAGAAATTAGTACTTCTAATGGTCTTCAACCAAATGTGGGATCAAAATGTTCTGAGTGAGAGTGCAGTAGTTCTGCTTCTGTACCACTCTAGGACATTCATGTTCTTAATATTAAAAGGTCTGGATACCCTGATAAATCCAGAGCTATAAAACTCCTGTTTCAGACAAAGCACTTTCTCAGGGCTTTCCTGGATGTTTGAAGTAAGCCATCAGGAACTAGTTGGTGACAGCCTGTGATTTGCTAAGCTTCAAATTCCAGGCCTCAAGAAACAGCTTTCATTCATTGTCCAGCTTTGTTACTCGGAACAGATGATGTGTTTTGTGTGTAATAAATCCTTTCCTATTTAGCTAAATCTATATCCTGTGTCTTAGAGACTGGATATGGTTTTGGATCCAGCTGGATGATAGACTTGAGCAAAAGAATGAAATAAATATCTAGATTTGCAATTTGAACTTTCATCTGGCAAAGGCATCAGGACTTCAAAAAACCTTAAAAATCCTATGCAAAAATCATGCTGTGTTTCCTAACATTAGATTCAGCAGTTAGCATAGCCTGTTTACTATACGAAGGGAAGGCTACAAGTTTCTTATACACTTAGAATTATTGTCTTGGATCTGTACAGTAATAATAATAATTATAAGACTGTGTTTTTGCTTCTCTTCAGGCCTATAGATTGGCTTACTGTTGTGCTTCAGAGTTGCATATTAATTTGTATTTACCAGTAATCATTCCTAGAAGTGTGATAATGTATAGTCTACCATAGAAGAGCTGACTGCTCTCTTGGTGAAAACCTTGCAAAGATAGGAAGATGCAAAGCATAAATATAGAGCAAGTGGTTAAAAATAGTATGCATTTTGTCTGTGTTGAGTCTCATCAGTGATAAATAAGCAACTCGATTATACAGTACAGCAAACATATGGAAGAGGGTAAAAGACCACTTGCAGATACCGGTGTCAGCTGATTTCTTCTGTTGTGCTTATTTGAGTTCTTTCCTTAAATATATTTTCTCTGAGATCTTTGAGGCGTACAGTCATCTGGGCATCTTCCCTTTATGCAATTAGCACAGAATTAGTAATGCAGAATTTATCAGTATTAAAGGGATATTGCCAATTTCGTTTAGACTAACTCATCCACTTTGAAAAAAGGAGTTGTATGATGTTGTAACAATGAGGACAAACATTTAAAGTTTCCCTTTTTAAGTGCTTCTGAAGACTTGGAAGGCTTGACCGTGGTTTTGTATCTAGATGACACTGCCATCACAAGGAGCTGAGCTTCCTTGCCGTTTCCCCTTTCCATCCCCTTTTGCTTATGTTATCTGGAAGTAAAGATACCTATTAAACTTTTCAATGAGTTGATAAGAGAATTATATGCAGGAGGAAGATTACTGCAAGCATGTATATTTTCATTTCAAGTTTCATACTGGAATTAGTCTGAATATACATTAAATGCATAATTGCATAAATTGGTAAGATAAAAGTAAAAAAAATTTTCCCCCATGCAGTGGTATAGGATGACCTTTATTTTCCTCTTTAATGTCAATAAAAAGGAACAGACCTGTAATGCAGGTGTCCTCATCGCTATTTTGATTTATACAAAGTCCACCCCCAATTCTGGAATAGCTCAAGATCACAAAAGTAGCTTAAGAGTGCCTCAGCCGTTCTCCCTGTTCTCTGCTTGCTCTGTGGATTCTTTCAGAAGCATAGTGTGAAATGTCCGTTTGAGGGGATCGTGTCACCTCAGTGCTGTTTAGGATGTCTGTGGGGAAGGTAAGTAAGCTAAGGAGGACTGCAGTTTGGCAGACAGAAGAAAGGGAAA